AATAAATAAATAAATAAATAAATAAATACAACACATATGGTGTTTGATATTTATATAGCTATTTGTGCAGACACGAGATTGCTAATGTATGAAAAAGGCCTCTACAGTAATCGAGCTTGTGTAATCGAGCGAAAGGCATGGAACGCAGAAATTCCATTGAGAACTGACAAGGTATATAACTCTGTATTTCTTGCGACCATATTGTTATAACATCTTTCAGACTGCATTTGCCGATGATGCGCCGTATATGATCAACACTCAAGCATCGCTTGATGATTTAAATACGAGGCTGGAAGAAAAAGTATCTTTATCTATTTAGGCTTTACGAAATCGGGCTTTCAAATGATCGATAAGGGGTTGTTTAGGTTGTGATTGAGCATTTTCGGCCTGTTATTTTCGTCGATAAATGCGCTGCATGGGACGAAGACAAATGGTTAAGCGTTCACATTGGTGATGTTGCATTGCAGTGCTTAAAACCGTGCCTTCGGTTAGTCCATGGCTATATAAGAAAACTTCAAGCCATATTTACCGTTTCCAGCACCCAAAAACAGTCATTTGGTGGCATCCAATTGTTATCTTCTCTGATGAAAGTAAATATCACAAAACTCGCAATTGAGCGAGATTTAGCACTACTTTTTATTACAAAGTGTAAAAAGCAGAAGAAAACATTTGAGGAGTGATTATATCAGCAATAACCAAAGAAAAAGCTGTGTTATGATAATGGAAAAACCAGCGCCTAAGTATTCACGACAACGTTGTTACATTATACTCCTCTCTTTTTGCAGTAATGATAAAAGTAACTGGTCAGGCTAAGATGTATTAGAAAAAGTCTACTCCGATCAAAACCTCATCTTCATTTTGTTTTGAAGGTTCTAGTTTCTTTAGATACGGAAAATGATGTAGGGCAGGGTTTTGTTGCTATAATTGTGTTTTGGAAATCCTAACAAGCTTCAACACTTCAAAATGTTCACTTTAATGGGTTCAGATTAGTGAACACATTAAGCAGCTGTGAGATACGCTTCAAATAAAAGGGGAAACCTTAGCAAGGATCGTACTGACTATTTTCTTTTAGTTCAGACATAACTTTCGCGATGCGCATAAACAAAGATTTACCATGAGAAACTGTTAAATATGCTGTTAGAATCAGTGAAAAGAATACAAAAAAAGGTACCCAGCAGTTAGGAGCTAATGCCTATAAGTCGCCTATGGCTGCGTTGATCAAAGCAGGACTTCAAAAACGTAAGCTGCAGGGAAAGGAAGCGAAAAACAGAAAACGTCAAGAAAACCGGGACTCTCCGATGTAGCCGTAGAGCACGCAAGCGATTTTGAACAATTGACGTATTTATTTTCTTTTGCTTCTTTGTAATTCTTTCCAATAGGATCATTATTTTAGAATAATGCTCATGTGAAATACAATTTCCATTTTTTGTGGGCTGCCAGACGGCACCCGGAAGGCGACGAATTTCAAAGTATGCTCGCATGTTTTTGGCATTTCTACCTCCTCTTCTTTCTTTTTAGGTCAAGGCAGGGTGTAATTATCTACAAAATTCATAGGATTTTGCCGCCT